CCAAGTGACGTCTAATAAAAAGATAATAAAGAAGCAAATACATGTTTCTTTTTACCATTGATATTTTGTTTATACAGTTGTCCCTGGATACTACACAATATTTGTTTAATGTGATTAAAGCATTGTATGCAGCACTTTAAATACTGTCTGTGGTCATCAAAGAGCAAGAGATCCAACAAGGATCTGTATGACAGTGGCATTTGAGAATGTCTACCGTGTTTCTCCAACAATACGGCCTCCACCAATAGGAAGCCCCACCATGTTTTATTGGCATAAAATCAAATTAAGCCCCTCCCCCCAAATTAAGGCCCATATTAAACATGCGAAATGGGGGGGAATGGCGGGGGGGCTTGCCATTAGGAAGTACTTTTGTTGCATGCCCGGATATGGTGCTGCCTGCATTGGTGGGGCACTTCATACCGGGAGACCTTCCGCCACTGTTGCTTTCCCTTCTCCCTTGCTGCCGCAGCGTTAGAGCAACACCGCGGTGTTTGGCGCAGCCATGTGTCGCAAGCCAGGGCTCTTCCCTGCAACCAGAGCTCTGAGGGGACACTTGGCTTCAGGCGCTCCTGTCGCCGCCTTCCCTTTGCCTTCAAAGGTAAAGCGAATTATTTTAAAAATGACACCCTACTACAACAAAGCCTCCCCTGCCCGAGAGGGCAGCCCAACCCCACGTGGGGAGGCAAATCTCCCGGGGCCGCAGCGCAGGATCGGCCCACCTCGGGAGAAGCGCCCAGACACCATCCCTGCCTGGCGCCGGGCAGAGCGCGAAGAGTTCCGCCTGGGGTGCCCAGCACAGCTGACAGGTGGGCCCTCCTTCCTGGCGGCAGAGCTCTCACCAAGGCAGCGAGCGCCTCCCTGCCGGGCCCTCCGCTCATCCCGCCAGGGCCACGCCGGAGCCGTGCGGGCTGGGCAGAGCTGGGAAAGTGAGCTGCGGGCGAGGCGCTTGCTGCCTTGGTGAGAGCTCTGGTGCCGGGAAGGAGGGCCCGCCTGTCAGCTGCGCTGGGCACCCCAGGCGGAGCTCTTCGCACTCTGCTCGGCGCCAGGCAGGGATGGCAGATGGGCACTTCTCCCGAGGTGGGCCGATCCTGCGCTGTGGCCCCGGGAGATTCGCCTCCCCACGTGGGGTTGGGCTGCCCTCTCGGGCAGGGGAGGCTTTGTTGTAGTAGGGTGTCGTTTTTAAAATAATTCGCTTTACCTTCGAAGGCAAAGGGAAGGCGGCGACAGGAGCGCCTGAAGCCAAGTGTCTCCTCAGGGCTCTGGTTACAGGGAGGAGTCCTGACTGGCCGCACGTGGCTGCGCCAAACGCCGCGGCGTTGCTCTAATGCTGTGGCAGCAAGGGAGAAGGGAAAGCAACGGTGGTGGAAGGTCTCCCGAACATCCAAGCTGTCGCTGCCCGCCCACCCGAGGATGCAAGTGGGGGGAATTAAGTCACCCCCAAAAAGACAGCCTAGCCGTTTTTTCGGGGATCACCAGATAGACCAAGAAATCAATTCCATAGGAAACCTAAAACTACTTTCACTGAGAATTACCATAATAGCAGAAACCTGCAAGTCTGATTGTGATGTACCTTATTCTTTTTTCTTATACTCTTATGAAGTAGGGAGGTGTCTTTCTGAACTGCTGCTGCATATTTTCTGCCTGTAAGATATATTTCATGCCTCTTTGCTTTAGTAACAGAGCTTAGATATCTCTATCAAGGTCATCTTCTTTAGTGTATATAGTGGGATCCTGTTCAATTGGCTGATCATCACTGTAAAAAAGATTACAGTATCTAATTGTGCCCATACTCTCCTTTTGTGTTCCCAAGGGAATATACCTGGCTATTTTTTAGAAAATAACTGGTTAGAAAAACCATAAAGTTACTTATTGCATTTCTTTGTCATCAGTGACTTTAGGAGGTGCATTTTCTTCTGTGAAATGAAGTAATGTGATTCTTGTGTATGTTTATGTACATATGTGTGTTTATGCTTTCCCCTTAATAAATATTATATCTCGACTTCCGGTTTGAGCTTCTTCGGCGACAGACCGAAACCTCGTCTCTGCGAGGCTTCAATCCGTGCTCGCCACTGGAGCACCCCGAGCCGGCTGGTTTCGGGGCTAAGCCACCCTGTAGAGGTGGTGAAGAAGGGGGAGACTGCCTGCAGGGTTGAGGAGAGCTGCATCTCTCCTCCCCAGCTAGCCATTACTCCCTTTCCCAAAGGCGGTTGTAGCGGTGGTCAGAAATGGCCACCACAAAGAAGAACTCGACCAGAAAAGAATGTGCAGGAGGAAGATAAGAAGACAAAGTTTTGGTTGACCGGGTCAAACAGCAAAAGCAACAAATAAGGTACCCTGGAATTGAAACTATTTAAAAAAAAACAATAACATTGTTCCCTAAGAAGATTTTTAAGCTGCGAAGGAGAGAGAAAAGGGAAAAGATTTGGTCTTTTTTCTCTCCTTTTCCTATACTGACAGCTAAGAGACTTAAGCAAGAAATTGGGGAAAAATCCACTTTGACATTAATAGGCATTTAATGCTGAAAATAAAAAGTCAAAGGGATAATAAAGATTTCTGGATAATCAAAAGCTTTTGAAAACAGGAAAGGAAAGAAAAAGAATAAAAGGGCAGGATCTGGAAGGGAGGAGACTGCCTGGAATTAAAAAGAGCTTTCAGCAAAATCTCAACAAGACTTCCAAAAGATACATTTTAACTGAAATATCGCAACAAAAACCCCAGGAAGAGAAAGTGGAAAAAGAAATAAGAAGAAATAACTTAGGACTATTTGGATTACTTGATGATTTCTGGATTTTTGGTTATCGTATTTGAATGACTAAAATCTGTTTAAAACTGTTTAAAATGGCTCCACTTTTACAAGAACTGAAAATGGAACTTAAAAAGTACAAAGAAGATGCACAAGAAGGGAGAGGTTCTTTTGGCTTTGTATTTCAGTTTTTAGAAATGGAGATTTGGAATTATGAGAAACAACAAGAAATGCCTTCAGAACAAGAAGATTGCGACAAAGAAGAAGCCATCTTTAATGAACAAGTAATCTTAGATGTGTGGGGGGGAGGAAATGGGGGGGAAGAGAATGGAAAGTTTAAGATTGGGAAAAACAACTCCAAAAAAAAAAAAGAGTGAAAAATAAGTATAAAATCAGAAAGCAACAGAAGAGGGAAATGCAGAAGAGAGAATTAGAACTAGAGAGACAAGGGGGTAAAAAAGGGAGGGAGAAGATGAGAGGGAAGAAAGAAAGGAAAAGAAGTTATAAAGGACAGAAACAAAATATAGAGAAACAGGGCCTATTTAGAGATAATGGGTGAAAACTTAATGGAAAAAGGGATTCTGCAAAGGTACATAAGATAGTATGGTTATATTAGAAGCAGAAATAATTTTAGAAAATATGAAACAATGTATGATTAAAATGTCTGATAAAATAGCTATTGTAATTCAGTGGAATGCTTGTCAATAAATAAATGTAACAAAAGGTATATTTAAAGATTTATAAAACGTGAAGAGAAATAAGGGAAAAATAATTATGGAGATTATATATGTCTTTAAGGAAGTATGATATTTAATTGAAAAGAAGTGTTAAAGATGTTAAGATTTTAATGATAATGATAGAACTGAATTGGAATGGAATGAGGGTTTATAATTACATATATTTACAATCTTTCTTTTTTTAAAAAAGAATATAGTGTGTATTATAAGAATGTACCAAGCAGAATTCGATTGGAAGTTATGTATTATATTGAAGGTCATAACCTTAAGGTATATATTGAAGTTTAAATAAGAGTTGAATGGATGTAATTACAAGATATAAAGGTGTCATACTCCAATTAGTACTACAGGAGAAAATTTGTTTAATGAGAAAAGATAATATGAAATTGAAACAGAACAGACAAAAGTATAAATATAATGATTTCAATTGAGATGAGATAATCAAAATAAAATTGAGAAAATTAAAAGAGGGGAAAAACTATATAGAAAATGTAGAATAGCATAAGATATGGAATAGAACACAAAAAAGAGCATGAAATTGAGTTTTGTGTCTGTATAAAGAAGTTCAACCCGGGACCATGCTATTTTCAAAAAAGATGTTTTACTTGTATTTTATATGTGTGAAAACTCAAATAAAACTTTATTAAAAAAACATTATATCTCAATATGTTTGTGCAGCTGTGTATTTGGAAAATATAATGGGCTATCCAAATAACCTTGGGAGACAGGAAGAAGAGCTGAACCTTAGATAATGGTTTGATAAGAGATACCCACATCCATAAGAAGGATGAGCATAGAGAAAGTGCATTAGAAGGTACTCTCTCATTTTCTGGAGAGCAAAGGCAGGAAAGGAACATGCTTTCAGACATTCAGGATTCTGCAGTATTTCTGTAACTTTGTAGTAAAAGTAGTATTAGTATTAATGGTTTTGGTTTCCTGCCTACGCTACCTTGAAGGACTAACAGAACTACCAGTGGGCTATGTGTGCTCCACTCCAGGTCACATGATTAGGAGATTGGCTTAGAATGGAGGAGTTGATAGCATTATGGAAAGCTGCCCAATTCCTTATCAGAATTGTCCTTCTAACAAACAGACAGTGCTAAATCCTTTCAGACAATTTCTTTCCAGCATCCTGCTTGGTTGGAAAGAATAAAACTGTATGTAGCATAGAGGAAATATGGCTCTTCAAATTTTATTGGAGTCTGTTTTCCGTCATTCCACAACCCAACCGTTTAAGGGACACAAATGAACAACTTTTGCAGGACTTTAGGTTCTCCAGTTCTATTCTAAAGAAATGTTGGATCTGATCCAATATATCAGTTCATGCTTTAATATCCCCATATGTCTTGATGTATGGGAATTACATTGAAACCATATCTACTGAAAAAAGTGACATTAGAGTAAGTCATTTGATAATATTTACTTTAGTTACTGATAGTCTATAGAAATAACTAAAGTGAGAACTCACTTGAAATCACATACAACATTAATAATGTATCTCCTTTTTTTTTTTTTAACAGAAAATTTTCAGGGCTGGCGACACTAATCAGGATGGAAGACTGGACTTTGAAGAATTTACACGTTATCTTAAAGACCATGAGAAGAAAATGAAACTTGCATTTAAAAGTCTGGACAAAAATAATGATGGTAGGATACAATTTGTGGCATTAATTGAATATGTTATGAGAGCAAATTTAAATATAAATAAAGAATTGCCACTATGAGTTGACAAGTATTCATCTGTGCAATATTAAATAATTTTAAAAAATGTAGGTATTGATGAATATCTTCTCATTCATTAATTAAGAAAAATTATAACTCACTACAGAGTTCTTTAAATCCTCTAAAAGTGCCAGTAAAAGTAAAATTCAAGTTAAGGTTATTTATTGATATAGAAATGAGTAAGATACTGAAACTCTTCAAAATCGAAGATGTTTCTATCATGAGGTTAGTGCTACACTATGAGGTTTTGAGGGAAGAATGACTTAGAATTGTGGTGAAAAGCCAATCGAGGTCTATTAAAAAAGAACAGCAGCCTACAATATTACATTTGCTATGCTAAAATGCTTAATGGTAGCACAGGAACCAGATATCACTAAACTACAACTTAGAGTAGCCCCAGCCAGCTACTGGATGATAAGGGATGCTGGGACTTGAAGTTCAGTAATATCGAGAGAACAACAGATTTCTTTGCTTTAATGTCTTGGGCTCAGATTCTTAACCCTACTAAAGTTGCAGCAGAATTTGTAATCGAGAACTCTGTTCCAAGCAATAGTCCTGAATTATTCTTGGCAGCATCACAGTTGTAGAAAGAAGGACCAATGACATTTATTACTAAAAACTATTTTCTACAAAAAGGATTTACCACAGCCTTCACTATACAGCAGAACAGCCAGGAAGGGTTTTGTGAAAGTCCTCCCTATTTGTTAAGTATTGGGTAAGATGCCATTACCAGTGGGGGTATTTAGCAGGTTCAGTTCTGGAGAACTGGTAGTGAAAATTTTGAGTAGTTCGAGAAACTGGCAAATGCCACTTCTGACTGGCCCCACCCCAAATTATTTTCTGCCTTCTGAGTCCCAGTTGATCGGCTGGGTCTTCTTTTGTTGCCCTGCACAGGAGAACAGAGCTGGAAAGCAGGTTAGTGGGGTGGGGAGGGAATGGAGATTTTGCAGTATCCTTCCCCTTGCCATGCCCACCAAGCCACGCCCACAGAACCGGTAGTAAAAAAAATTTGAATCCTGCCACTGGCCATTATCCAGATACTGTGCTGAATATTTCTGAAGAAATTTATTCTATTTTGCTGAGAACATCTGTGCTACTTTTTAGAAGCAGCTGATGAAGGACGCCATGGTTATTCTTTAGTGTTTGAGCAGCATGTAGTGGGGCAGAGATTATAAAGTGTAATTTAAAACACCCACCTACACTCACATATCACTTGTATTGTTCAACTATTGAAAAAGCATAAACATCAGGGAAAAGAAATTCTGATTTCCCCTTTCCTTACTTTAGATTTTTTTTTAGCTAAGGAATGGAGAGATTTTGGCTACAATGAGAGAAGAATACATGAGTGTATTTGTAAGGCTAAACAGGGCAGGAGATGGCCATCTATGTTGATTTAAAATGTAAAATCCTTGGAGTAAAGGCGGTACAATAAGAAAATGGATATTAATTTTTTTTTATTTATAAATGAAATAAAGTCACTATTATTTGCACTGCTTGGGAAATGTTACAAATAGCAGCAATTGAAAAGGTGTTCAAATCTTCCTTACATTCCATTTCTAACCATACATCGTCCCAGGTTTGCCTTAAATTTTACAATACCATGGTTTGTGGCACCAACAGTTTTAAGCACTTGTGATGCTTCAGGGTTCAATACAGAATATATTTATTTTAAAAATATTTTTATAATGTATTGAGTTGTAGAATCTTATCAGAGTTCCTCAATCCAATACTCTCTAAATGAGCTGCATTACAAACACTTAAAACCCATCCAGCATAGATATGGATTTAAATTACTGCTCATTCATGAATATCACCTAGTGACTGGTTCATGATTCAGTGGAAGATACCTTGCATGGCTATTAAGATATCTGGTAAAAAAAATGCATGTTGAAGAGGTGAGCCATATACACTGCTCTGAGAGTACCTAATTCCTTAAAATTAATGATACGTATGGATAATAGTATAATAAATAAGTAGAAATATATCTCTGGGAATTATAATCAGTTTTGTGTCAAAACTATCATATCTGTACTAATAATTAAGGAAGTTTTTATGCTGTGCAACATATCAATTACAAGAGCATTACATTTATATAAGTGAAAAGAACTTATCCTGAGATACTTCATTCATAACTGAATATAATACATATCAGTATTCAAAATTCTTAAATCTGGATCAGTTGACCTGAAGTGGTGGAAGTTGAATAGCTATTTTCACTGTTCTCTCTCTCTTTTTTTAAAGGTGTAATTGAAGCCTCAGAGATCGTTCAGTCCCTGAAGATATTGGGCATAGATATTTCTGAAAAGCAGGCAGGCAAGATTCTGAAAAGGTCAGCAGCTATTATTATGCCTGGTTATTGGAGTGACTCATGAGAAGGCGTGTCCCTTGAAAAACAAAATCACATATTGGATGGATGTGTTCAGTACTGTACTCCACTGTACTTGCCTGGCTTTGAATTATTATATTAATAATGACATTGCTTTGAGGAAGGAGCCAAGGACAGACCATGATTTCTTGAGACAACTCGTGGGACAGGTTGACAGGCTTGAAACAATTTTGGTGGTATTTCTGATATCTGAGACACAACATCCTTCTTTAGATTTGTGAGACACCACCTTCTTCCTTAGCTTAAGGTAAAAGGAAGGGTGGGTCATGTAATATTTACAGAACTATCCCATGATTGCAGATAATACTGTAAATTATCTCTTGATCTGACTGGGAGGCTTTTTTAGCCTGTTTCCAAGGGAATTGAATGGATGTATCCATTTATACATCCATGAATTCCAGGTGTGGAATTCAAAGATGACTTAAACATCCTATATATGCCGGGTTTGGAGAAGATTTCTTTGAATCATGATAAACCAGATAAATCACTGTCTGGCTATTTTCACACAAGATATTGTATAAAACCTAGTTACAAGCAACAATGGCTATTTCATACTGCATAATAATCATGATATAAATCAAATCTAAGTAAGATTTTAATGCTTAACTCAGCCTCCCCATCCTACCTATTAAACATTTATGGAACATTCATAGTTGATAATACTTGCTAAATGTAGCAATAACAATATATTAGGATTATAGCATACACGTCAACAAAAATGTTCCTCTTTAGAGTCTTATTTAGACTGGACGGGAACATGGTATAATTGTTCAGAGCTCTCCAGAAACATATTTATTAATGAGAAGCAAAAAGAAATGTTTCTTTTCTATCTTTCTCCCCCCATCTTCTTGAAACATTCTTTACCTCTAATAAATTGTTAACCTCCATATTTGCACACCACAAGAAGCTCTTTGCTCTAGGAATCTTATACATGTTTACAGGAAACTTTCCTTAGAGCGATAAGACGATTAAAAAGAAATAGTGCTCTGTTCTGTAGAACCTTTGAAAGCAAAATAAAATACCAGATTGAAGCATTTTGCACATTAGCCTAACATTAAAGATTGGCAAATAGAACAAGAGTTTAGAAGACTGGTTACAGGAAATTACTAATGAACAATTAGATCTAGAACCAGAACGCTTTCTATTGGAGATCTTCAAAAAATATATAAAGAATACAAAATATTTACTATTACATATATTAACTGCTATCAGGATTGCCTTTGTTCAATGTTGGAAATAGCCATGCATACCCTCAGAGAAACTTGTTATACAAAAAATTATGAACTGCGCAGAAATGGACAAATTAGTGTTGAGCTTAAAAGATAAAGAGACACTGATATTTTATAAGGTGTGGGAACAATGGTATAACTGGGTAGAACGGAGATAGATTAAAGATAGATAGTTATTAATCATAAGTAATAGATAAAATAATGCAATTACACATAATTTAATATCTGTAAATAATGCATGAATTATTGTCATAAGAGAATCATTACAAATTGCTGTTTTTGAGTAAAATATTTATTTATTTACTTTTTTTGAGGTTTTTAATGTAATAAAAGTTTAATAATATAGTTTAAAAGGAAAAAAAAGGAAACTGAAGGAATTTAAGATAACCAATCTATAGATTAAATGTATCTATTTGCACAAATTATATATATATATCTATATATCTGTAAATACGCACAAAAGATAGAAATGTATGAGATTGATGTCATAGAACTGTTAATGTAATGATTATTTTTTGTTTTTAAAAGACATAAAAGACTAATAAAGTTTATTAAAAAAAAAGAACAAGAGTTTAGAATGTGAGTGCAAGTGTAATGTATTTTGAACATGATTAAGTAAAAAAATCAGCAGAATCCACTGAAATTATTTCATGTTGAATTTTTAGCATGGACGCTGATGGGACAATGTCAGTGGACTGGAATGAATGGCGGGATCATTTTCTCTTTAACCCTGCTACAGACATTCAAGGAATCGTCCGTTATTGGAAACATTCCACAGTGAGTATGATTTGCATTTTTATCGCAGTCCTGATCTGGAGTATATCTAAACAACTTGTGCATTAGCTTATTCAATGATTATCCTTGGTAGCTGTTTTTTTTTTAAATTAAAACTGAAATTCTTGACAATCTTTACTAGCTAAACAAACTGTTGCTCCAAAATTGATTGAAAACCTTGCTCTTTGTGTCTTTTTAAAAATAAAGTACCCTACTTAAAATGTTGAATTAAATGGAAAGCCAGTTTGGGGTAGTGGTTTAAGACTCCAGGATATGTAAGATAGATAGATAGATAGATAGATAGATAGATAGATAGATAGATAGATAGAGCAAACTCATTGTCTTAATGGACTAATGGGAGAAATGGGAGAAAGCCTGCCTGTTAAAGCCAAGTGTCTGCTAAATTAAGAGTTTATTGGTTGCTCCTAAACCAGTAACAATAGTTAAGAGAAGCCCAGCAAATATTGCTCCCTGCCTATATCCAGCTTCCAACTTCACATTTCTTTCCAGCCCACCTACCTCCCATTTTGTCCAGTGTGTTATTTCTATCACTTGTTGGAGAATTTTGTTTTGGGGTATTGGGAGTTGGTATAATGTTGGTTTTATGGTTATTTTGTTTTATTGTATTCTTGTGAGCTGCCCAGATTCATTGTATATAAATAAGATAGGTGGTCATATAATTCTAAATAAATAAATAAGAGATTGTGGATTCACATTTTAACATATAAATTTGCTAGTGTTGAGTTTGGGTAAAAATGCCAGAAGGTTTCTTATTTGAAGATACATTAAAGAGTCATTTAAGTATCCCTTATTGTACTTCTCACTTTGGTAACTTGAAGTTTTATATGAAAAATACATAATATTGTATATTGTGCTTTTTAAAAAAAAACTAGGATGAAGTAATAGATAATTGGTTTAATAATATTTTTAAAAGCTTAGCTTCTTCAAATATCACCGCAAAGACATTGTTTGTAATCATACAGTAAGATTTTCAGCCTAGCCTAAGGATGTAAAATGCTTTTTAGATCAGGGGTGCCCTACCTCTGGTCCGTAGAATGAAATGATGGATTTTAGAATGTATCATTTATGCTTCTTTTCAATTTTAAGCTGAATGTAATTGTGTTTCATCACAACCAATCTCTTTGCTGAAATAAAGGCAGATTGAATTTAAGCCATTCATTCTCTTGCTTGCTCTTTCTCATTCTCTCTTTTTGCATTTTAACAGGTATTAGATATTGGAGATAGTTTAACTATTCCTGATGAATTCACGGAAGAAGAGAAGAAGACCGGCCAGTGGTGGAAACAGCTTTTGTCAGGTGGAGTTGCTGGTGCTGTGTCTCGGACAGGCACAGCACCCCTGGATCGTCTCAAAGTTATGATGCAGGTGGGCCTCTTAAACAAAGCATCCAAGGTCCAACAAGCTTCTTTGGACATGTTAAAAGGTGTGGATGCAGGCAACATTTACAAGAGAGGTGCTTGGTGCTCTCTGAGCTGCTTGCTTTCTCGCAGATGTTTCATTACCCAAACTAGGTAACATCATCAGTTCTAGTGCAACGTCTGAGAGAAAACAAGCACGCTCAGCGAGCACCAAGGACCCCTCGTGTCAACCTTGAACTACAAATATTCTTCTTTATTAGAATTTACACGAGTCAGTTGTCATATTTTATCAGAAATAGTTTGCTGTACAGATGGATAGACTTAGAATTGATCTATGGTTTATCTGACATACTCAGAATTGGGGAATGAGAACCAATGGCATTTTTTTTTAGTGTCAGGACTGAATGTAGCTCCTAGAATTATTGCACAAAAATCCATTCCATTTGCTCACCTAAGCTTTCTTAATTTCAACAATAATATTTAAGACTAGTAGTGGGGGAAGGAAAATTATTTTGTGGCTGCTATTGTTGGTCAGAAACCCTCGCTAATATTTTATAGATTACTTAGACATTCTCAATAGATCAAGATTTTCTTTCAGCAATTCCTAGTTAAGATGAAGTAATAAATAAAATTCTGATGTGTGCTGAAAATAACACTAGAGATGAAAAATAAGGATGAATCAGAATATTATATAATTTGGAATAGATATTACTATTGGTGAGGACAGAAAGGAAGGGTTTAAGAATGAAAAGAGCTGTTAAAGAGGACATCTGTGATCATGAAATGTAAATAATACCAAGAATGTTGGAAGATGTAAATTAGGATGAGCAAATGTATATATGTGTGCGTGTGTGTGTGTGTATGCTTCTTGGAAAGAAGCACAAAGCCGAAGACACAAGCCTGAAGATGATGAATGAGAATTCATTGAAACATCGCCTAGACACTTCCAATTTTATGTGGGAGAAAACTCGAATAACCAAAGATCCACATACAAATACCCGTGAAAACCTCAGAAAACAAATATATATACATATATATATATATGTACAAATGTATATAAGATTTATATTCTATTTCACTAGAATGATGACAAAAAGTTACGTCAAAGCGACGCCACCACGTCCAATGTTTTTTATATGTTATGTTTAATAAAAAATTTAAAAAAACAGATTTTCTTTCAGCAACAATTGACCACCTGGCAGAAGGAGTGGTAGATGAAAAAGATTTATTAGTCAAATAAGACCAAGCAGTGCAGTGAACCATATAGAAAAACTGAGCCCCTAGTCCTCCGTTTACTTCTCCCCATTAACCAAGCCTTCTTTGGATATTGAATTTTGGCTGCCAGAACAGTTGCCTTAAAGAGAAGCTGTAGAGAATTATGTGACACAGATAGTCGACTGAGAACAGTTCTTTTAGAGACAGTTCTAAGTTACAGTGGCACTGAAAAAAGTGACGTATGACTGTTTTTCATACTTACGACCACTGCAGCATGCCCATGGTTACATGATCAAAATTCAGACTCTTGGCAACTGGCTCATATTTATGACAGTTGTTGTGTCTCCCGGGGTCATGTAATCTCCTTTTGCCACCTTCTGACAAGCAAAGTCAACAGGGACCAGATTCACTAAACAAACTGTGTTACTGGCTTGACCACTGCAGTGATTCACTTAGTAACTGTCATGCCCCTGTTGGAGTCTGACTCCAAGGGAGAGATGGAACAGCTGACAGGGAGTGGGAGTGTGGCTCTGGTGGTTGTGGAGGAAACTGGAGAAGGGCACAGGCCAGATGGGCATTCAGAGGAAGACCCAGGCCCATCCCCTCTTCATCCTAGGGCACGCAGGGAGGAACGGATAAGGGAGCAACATGAGTGGCATGGTCTATGGGGGAGGAAGGGGCCTGATCCCCTTCATGGACTACAGCTGGAAAGACTGTTTAAAAGGACAAACTGCACATGGCAAAGTTGCTGGAAGCAAAGCGTGCATTCTTGTCGGAGCTTATCTGTGTTTTGGCTTCCTCCCAACTTTGGTTGCTGCCTTATCTGGTAGAAGTCTGCAATTAATCATCCTTGCCTGCCATAGTAATTCCTTCAGTGTGGTTTGTGTTGGGCTTTTTATTTTGAATTAACTTTACTTTGGGTGCAGACTGCATTTACTCCCTCTGTAAACTATTTTCTTTAAGAGTTTGATATCCAGCTGAGGATAATTGGACATTGGGGCAAAGTTGGAGGCATTAAAGGGACTTTCTTCTATTTTTGTGACTTGGTTATTTTTGTGTGACGCCCTGGGTGTCACACAAACTGTGGCAAGAAAGATCATAAAATGAGGCAAAATTCACTTAACAAGGTCTCACTTAGCAACATAAATTTTGGGGCTCTGTTGTGGTTGTATGTCAAGGACTAACTATGCAGAAGTTCAATGCTTAAGCACCTGGAGCTGCCACATTTATGTTCAGTTTAGCCCAGCAAGGAAATTGGTATTGGAAGAGAGAGTTGAATAAAAATAAGTGGGTTAGATGTTAGCTCAGCTGTTGCTCTTTTTTTCATTTAGCCTAAAGAAGGAAGGAGGCTCCCCATACTTCTGTATTTTTAATGGCCTGTGGGCAGGGGAGCCTTGACAAACAGGTTTTGTGTACCTGAATCCTTCAGTTGTGTGTATCAGCTGTCATGAGAACAGGCACTATCTAGTGCACAATCTGGAATGGTTCCAATTCCTTTCTTGAAGGATTTACTTACTTTATGCCTCTGTTGAAACATAAAAGAGAGTTATGATTCACCAGGTTTTTCTGTATATGTCAGTTAATTATGTTTCCTTTTCCTTGTAGGTTCATGGTTCAAAGGGGAAAATGAACATAGCTGGCGGCTTGAAACAAATGGTGAAAGAAGGAGGAGTTCGTTCCCTTTGGAGGGGAAATGGTGTGAATGTGGTCAAAATCGCTCCCGAAACAGCTATCAAATTCTGGGCCTATGAAAGGGTAGGATGTTAAGAAAAATAGAAAACGGTGATGTGATAAGCTCATTTAGAGTCAAATTATAGTTCATGTTTGCTTCAAGTGATCGAGGACACATAGAAGATAAGTTCATTTGATTCTTCTGCTAGTCTTAGGAAACTGAGACTCAGTTTGGTGTGTAATAACGGTTAAGCCATCAGGCTAGAAACCAGAAGACTGTTAAGTTCTAGTCTCACCAGCTTGGTGACCTTAGGACAGTCAGTCAGTCAGTCTCTCTCTCACCCTAGGAAGCAGGCAAGGGAAAATCACTTCTGAAACACCTTGCCAAGAAAACCGCAGAGAGTTGTCTTGGCAATCTCTAGGAGTCAACATTGACTCAAAGGCACACACACAAACAGAGTGTCCGGAGATTAGCAGGAGGGAGGGAGGGAGAGAACAATTACATTAACATTGTTCAGGGAAATGCAGAAAACAAATCAGTATTATATGTAAATTTTTTCCCTGTCAGAAATTCCCCCCTTTTTTTGTTACATTGTAGGTCCCATATGCCTCCCTATGTAATATAAGAAGAGAAAGTGGGCAAGCGTTTCAGTCTTTTGTAACAGTTGAAATAGTTATATGCTGCTGAGCTAGGCGGATCACAACACCCTGGAAAAAGTTTACCGCATTACAGTTGGACATTTGCAATTCTGTATTTGATACTGGCTGAGGGAACTGCGATATGTCAAAATGATTCTCGTCAGTCTTCAACGGAATGCACTTTCAAGCATAAGCCTTGCTACAGATGTATCAATCTTATTTATGGTTTTTCATTTTTTCCCTTCTAAAGCAACTCTAAAATAGAAAACGAGAAATTTCTTAAACTAGAAAATTACCCTGGCAACATTCTGCAGGTACCAGTGCCTGTTGCAGCTAAGTTTTGCTGCAAATATTAGAAAACCCATATTTTCAGAACTTGTCCTTAGACACAGAATTGTCTTTATTTCACCTTTTGTGAAGACATCTTCAAGTAGTAGTAGCAGCAGCAGCAGCAGTTGTAGGCTACAGAATAATAGAATAACAGAGTTGGAAGGGACCTTGGAGGTCTTCTAGTCCAACTCCCTGTTTAGGCAGGAAACCCTATACCACTTCAGACAAATGGTTACCCAATCTCTTCTTAGAAACTTCCAGTGTTGGAGCATTCATAAGTTCTGGAAGGAAGTCAGTCCACTGATTAATTGTTCTAACTGTCAGGAAATTTCTCCTTAGTTTTAGGTTGCTTCTCTCCTTGATTAGTTTCCATCCATTGCTTCTTAATCTGCCTTCAGGGGCTTTGGAAAACAGATTGATTCCCTCTTCCTTGTGGCAGCCCCTTAGGAATTAGGATATTATTATGGGCCATGACTAGAAAATACTCAAATTAATAATAAAACTGAAAAACACTATGAAATCAATAAACCAATAATAAATGCAAACTAATAGAAACAAAAACTAAAGCAAAGCAGCAAACTCTATACAAATTATATGAGTGATAACATTTATATCCCACTGCTGCAAAAAGTTGCATTTGTTTCTGAGAGCTAGAGGTTAGTGATATCCAAGGGATAGGAATTCAGCAGTGGTAGAGCAGGTTAGGGAAAGCTTTGCTACATATCGTTTGTTTGGTCCATCATTAATGTCTTCATAGGGATTATTCTCATTTAATTTTGACCATGAAAGCCTAATCTCACCATGGGTATTTATATCAATATTGGATGTGTGAATAGAATAACTATATTAGGTAGCCTTGAACTGATCAGATGGTGCAAGAACCTACTGACTAAATTACTTGCGTTGAGATGCACACAGACAGAGTTTGTGTCCTACCAGGCAGAATCATTATTAATAGGTTTTTTTTGGGTGGGGGGGTGTCTAGAATTAATGTGCTTTTTTTTGTATCTTGTTGCTACTTAGTATAAGAAAATGTTTGTTAATGAAGAAGGAAAAATAGGAACTATTGAACGATTTATATCTGGTTCTATGGCTGGAGCAACCGCACAAACATCTATTTATCCCATGGAGGTAAGTAGTGGATAATATATTTTTAAAATAATGCCCTGTTCCTCACTCCCTCCCTCCCTCCCTCTCTCTTTCATCTGTCTATCAATATTGTAATCTGATAATAACTGTAGTTACTCTAAAAATAATTTAAGCCAAGGAGAGTTCCATTTTAAAGCTGCTTTGTGGAAATCATAAAACAACCACACCTTGTGCATCTGCAGAGGACCAAGTTAAATCTCTCTTCTAGTTCCATTTAAAACATCAAAGTCTGAGGTGTCTTTATCTGTTGTCAAATGATTTTTAAGGCCACAATGGAATTATTGGATACTCCATCTGAATTAGAATTGCCCACATAGTTCTTTGCTGAGAACTATGGCCTGTATATTTAAAGGACCTAATCTAATTTGCATCTCCCAAATTGTGCACAAGGTGTAAGCTATTTCTACATATTAATATACATTTTTATTTAAAATTTTACACTGATAGGGATATCAGCCAGAATTAACTGATGTGAAGGAAATGATCTAGCTTTAGATTGATCTGTATACCCTTAATATTGTTTGGGCCATATATTTGTTCTTAAATCCCTTTTTTCATATGTTAACTCTCACATGTGTAAATATGACTGATATTCTGGGTCTATGTTAAAGACTAAGTTGTGATATAATATTTAATTGTATTCTTTTCTGAACTACTTCTGTTCAATGTTAATTCTTTAGGTATTAAAAACAAGACTGGCAGTTGGTAAAACAGGACAATATTCTGGGATGTTTGACTGTGCTAAGAAGATTTTAAAAACAGAAGGGGTGAAAGCCTTTTACAAAGGTTATATTCCTAATATTTTGGGAATAATTCCATATGCTGGCATCGATCTGGCTATTTATGAGGTGAGTTGGTGTATTCCATAATAATGCAGTGAAAAAAATTAAGTGTTTTGTAGATAAAGAATTTGATTCAACTTGGAACGGAGACTCAAGATTTCTGTTCTTTTTATGCCAATGGTCGCAAATTACACTAATTTATATGGGCAGGTCAGTTTTCATGACTGTTCCTTAAAACAAGGCAGGTAATATATTTAGGGAAACTGTAAGCTTACGTGATAATTCTGAAGCTTTCTTACTTATTTGTGAAGATGCTGTTAAATCTTGATAGTTTAGTCAAGTCTTATCTTCCCTGACTAAAACTGTTATAGAACACAATTTGTGTAACATGGTTGTTACACAAGCTGCACTGGCTGTTAGTTTGCTTCTGGGTCTCATTCCAAGTGTTTGATCATTATCTTTGAAGCCCTTTATGGCATGAGTGCAGAGTATCTGAGGAACCATCTCATTCCAATGGGACTAATCTGCCCCACTTGTTCCATTGGAAAGGATCTACCCTGGATCCCACTGGCCAAAGAATTTCAACAAGTGAGGTCCAGAAGAATAGCCTTTTCTGCTTTGGCTCTCGCCTTCTGGAATATTCTTCCATCAAAGGTGAGGTCCACTGCCACACTCCTGGCTTTCCAGAACAGCCTACAAATATGGCCCTACCACTTGGCCTGGGACACCAACAGGGACCCACTATATTGAGGGTGGCTGACAGGTTAGAGAAGATTCTCACCCCAAGCTGCTTGGCATCTTAGTTTTTAACGTTTAACTTTGCTGTTTAATTTTAATTGGTTTTTTAAAAGTACTTTTCAAGTTTTTATTATATTCTGAGCTGCCCAGAGTTGCTGTATTGGTGAGGTGGACAACATATAAATTTAATAATTAAATAGTCATTTTATTCTAAAATGGCTACTCCTTTAAGATGTTAAGAGTTTCATTAGTGTGGTTACTACTTATCTTTTTAAATTCTCATATTCTGCTAAGCCACACTTCATTTTAACCATGATTCATTGATTAAACCATAATAACTGGCTTTACACATTGGGCTAAAATGAAATGTAGCGTAAGACGCTAAACCAAACCGGTAAGCTGTATTATAACTTGCACTGCTCTCTGAGGAAATTGGAGGAAAGGAGATCTATTAAAGAAATAATGAATGGTAATAGGAACATTGTGTCTCCTCCACATAATTTACTCTACAGTAGCTTAATGGGTACTTAACAGACCAATCACAAAATGAACCCTTTATGCCACGGTTAAGCATGACCAGCTATGAGATGATTCAATTTTGGGTTTACAGAAATACAGATAGTCGTTGACTTGTGGCCACAATTGACACTAACATTTTCTTCATAAGTTGATGTGGTCATAAAGTGAGATATTACATGATTGCACCAACGTATGATGACAATCCCAGCTCTTCCCATTGCAGATGTTAACTAAGAATCATGTGTTGTTAATCAAGTACTCATCCCAAGCCAAGCTATTCTGGATTTGGTCCCTCCCAGCCCTCAACCTTATTAAGTAAGGAACTGCATCCCCTCCCCTCCACTCACTTACTTGCCCCACCCATCTCTGTCCTTTGGGACACCTTGCACCCTGCTTTGCACGGTATTGTGGCTGCTTGCCAACCCCTGGGAAATTTCAGTAAGCATCAACAAGTATTCACTTGTTAAACTGTCATTTCTCCTTAGCTCCATGCAGCTCCCTAGCCCACCCCAGCAAACAAGCCAGCAAACATTCATTCACCCAGTGTGGTGGAATCAACAGCGGAAAGGTAGGGCTCCCTGGTGGGAAGAGTTTTAGAGACGTGTCAATCTGGACTCTAGATTCCCATATGATGGAATTGATTTAGGTCAATATCTGACTTTCCCGGGGGGAAAGCAGGAAATTTGGTGAGCTTCTAGTGCAAGGTTCCCAAACCCCCGGGCAGCGGCCCACTATTGGGCTGTGGCCTATTTGGGATTGGGCTGCGTGAGTGGCTGGCTAGAGTACGCATGTGCAGCTCAACTTGTGTGAGTGGTGGGCTGGCAGGCACTCGCACATGCTTACTAGCCCACCACTCACAACAGCCCACTACTCATGTAAGGGCTGTGTGTAAGCACGCACATGCACCAGCCTATTGCTCGTGCGACCCACTTTCCTTCCTCCCCTCCAGCCGGGCCACCAAGCCACAAAAATTGGGGACTGCTGTTCTAGTGTATAATGAAATCAACAATAAAATAACCTCTTGACCTGAGTTCTTGTGCCACTTCGTTTGGTTTTCAGCTGACACTCAGCTGCCTATTTCTCTCCTACTTCCTTGCACCAAGCTTTCATCTTTGCACCCAGCTGCCTTTGCTGTCTCCTTTTCAGACCCAGCTTCTCTGGCAGATATTACTTACACATGACTAAAGATGTATTTTATAAGGATAGCTGTTCTGACCCAACCGGGTTCCCAGAGAGCAAACACAGACAAAGCAGCAGCCCCCACCTTTCAAGGTTTAATCACGAATTCTGTTCCTTTACAGATAAAAGGCTGCTTTCCAACAATTACCTCCGACAAGAAAGAGCCTTGCCAAGTTGTTTGTCAAGGCTGCCAAAAACCCAGAGATAAGAACTAATTTACAAGATTCACGAACTAAGATGTCCACCAGTTGAGCTTAAGAGCTTCTTTGCTTTCTGCAAAAATGCTTTTTCAAGCCTGGCTTGTATTCTCTTAAGGGAGGGGCCATTACCTTGCAGCCTTACTCCCGAGTTGCCTGTGCTGCTGTAATTGTTTTTTCCTCCGAGTAATCCTTCTTGCACGTGCACTTGCCACAGGCTCCTCGGGAACGTCCTCGTCACTGCTGCCAGCTCCCACAATCTCTGAAGGTAGCAGTCCACTCCCTGATGGTCCTGGCCCCTCATCAGAGTCATTGCTCTCCTCAGCCACTGCTGCTGGCTAACCACAACAATAGCGCATCTTTAGCCACTTTGGAAATGGCTCCCCCCCAATTTCCCAAAAGGCTAAAGCTCCACTGACTTTGGAAAGCAATCTGTTAACTGCTAGCAGTTCAGTCCTGATGGGGCTCAAGGTTGACTCAGCCTTCCATCCCTCTGAGGTGGGTAAAACAAAGACCCAGATTGTTGGGGGCAATATGCTGACTCTGCAAACCACTTAGAACAGGGGTGTCAAACTTGTGGTGTTATGACGGCATCACATCATGACTTTCCTTCCCTTTGCTAAACTGGGTGTGGGCATGGCCAGCATTTGACTCATCCGGCCCACGGGCCACAAGTTTGATAGCCCTGACTTAGAGAGAGCTGTAAAGCACTGTGAAGCAATGTATACCATAAGTCTAAGTGCTTTGCAATTGCAAATGCATGGTATTTTTTTAAAAAATCCTTGATTGATATAAAAGAACAAAGCACAATAACTATAATTAAAACTAATCCTTCTGAATTCAGGGCATAAGAGAAAAATATGTGAATGGTAGAGCTTAGAAGTTCAGAAAGGTGTTGAATGTTTAATGTAACTCGGAATAGCAGTTTATTATTACATCTGAATAATTAACATAGCTGTCTTTCTGAATTTTCATGCTTTTTACCTAGCTTCACAGCTGCTATAGTTTATGCTGTAGTTTCTGCTAATGGCTGCAGATTATTAATCTTCATGTAGTTAAGCATGTTTCATGCTGAAATAATTTTCTGCCTCTACTATGCAGCATATGCTACCTGTCAGCCATTTATTGTGTTGCTTGCAATTAGCTGAAGTGATGTTTCTGGTTCTGTAATGCCCCACTTAAACCTAATTTGTTTCCATCCTGTATGAACAGTTTTTACAAACAATAGTTATCATGTGCTACAACTTTGTTACGCATATCAATTTCTTAACAAGCTTCATTTTTACACCAGCCAACATTTGGCATTTGCATAGGTTATATCCAAGGCTTTTATTCAGAGTTTGAAGGAAGACTCACTGGTGGTCATGTTTATGCACAGCCCACTTTCATTTTGGGGCAAATAGATTCTGTAAACACAACAGCTTTCTGGCATTTAATTAGGCCCAGCCATGGAGGAGGGGTTGGGAGGACTTAAACTTGTTTATGAAAGAGGAAAACAGATGAGTGTGCTGATAGGAATTGTGATAGTGTTCTTGTAGTGAAGTGCTAATCAAGAGGCACACTTAAAACCCCTTCCATTCCTATTTGCAGGCTTTTGTAATATATTGATTTAAAGTGCCTGAACACTTCAGAACACTTTGGGAAAAATAAATATGTAAGTAATATGAACGTAAATCATTGGGAGTGAACTTTTTCAAATTACTTTCTGTTCTCTCCTAAGACTGTCATCTCCCCATGTTGTCAGTCCTGGAGTATGGCACCACGGGGGGGAGGGGGAGGAATAAATCCAGTCCTTATTACAATATAGCTAGTCCCACTGTAGCCAAGGGAAAGTTGTTTATCTCTCACAAATAGAGTCTCCGGTCCATCCAAGCTACTTAGAGCAGAAGTGAAAAGAAGAATGTATTCAGTAAGACCTTTGGCTTATGAGGCATATGGGCCTGGCTTTCTTGCCCTCCCCCCCTTAACCTTCTTCAACTTGGTATACTCCAAAAATGAAAGTAGAGAATGTCTATAATGTCCGGGTTCTGGAAGCTGCAGTATCAAAATAGCTGAATAATGCAATTTCTCTGAATATGTTTCACTGAGCATCATTATATTCTATGAACAACTCGCAGATGAGTTGTGAGAATTTATAAAACAATTCACTCTGGCATTCAGTTCCCCAAACAACCCAATCAGCCTTGTGGCCAAACCCATAGCCAGGCCTTTTGACAATACCCACCATGCCCATCTCAGGGTACTGTCATGGGATTTTGGTTCCTCAACAAAGATCTACTGGCCCTGCTGTTGTTGTTGAGTCATGTTCTCAGTTAGTGGCTGGCAGAGGAAGCTGAAATCCTGAGCTTCCCAGATTCTCCTGATTCAAGCCACCTGGAAGTAGTCTCTCCAGTTATAATTCCAATAGACATGTCACTCCACCAGAGAGACTGTGACAATGGGGAGAAGAAGATCAGAACTCGTAGAATTAAATGTTTCTGCACTCCAGCCCAGACCCAGTTCGTCCACATAAGCTATATTACAATATGGTGGCCATGTTGCCAGTCAGTCATTTTCTGTACCGCCTGAGCAATTGGTTGTGAGTAAACAAAGGTCAAATATAGAATGTCTATGGGGATTCTGAGTCATCCAGGGCAGGGTTGTCCCAAAGATGCTTTTTCAAAAGGCAGCTGGACTTTGTTTTTCCTTAAAGACATTTCGCTTCTCATCCAAGAAGCTTCTTCAGTTCTGAAGTGAAGAAGCTTCCAAGATGAGAAGCGAAATGTCTTCAAGGAAAAACAAAGTCCAGTTGCCTTATTGAAAAAAAAAACATATTTGGAAGAAGAAGAATATTAAACTGATGAAGAGATTTCTTTTAATAAGCCTCATCCCAGACACTGATGAAATATATCATACAGGTAGTCCTAGACTTAGAACAGTTTGTTTAGTGACCGTTCAAAGTTACAACATCATTGAAAAAAGGAACTTATGACCACTTTTCACACTTACAACTGTTGCAGCATCCCCATGGTCATGTGATCAAAATTCAGATACTTGACAACTGACTCATATGTATGATGGTCGTAGTCTCCCAGGATCATGAGATCACTTCTTGACAAGCAAAATCAATGGGGAAGCCAGATTCACTTAGCAACCGTGTTAATAACAACTACAGTGATTCACTTAACAATTGTAGCAAAAAAGGTCATAAAATGGGGCAAAACTCACTTAACAAGCGTCACACTTAGCAACAGAAATTTTGGGCTCAACTGAGGTCAAGGACTACCTGTCGTAACTCATAAATTCCATTCAGGTGCCGTTATGATTGTAAACTTATTAAAATGTATGCAAAGATAACATATTCAGTTTAAGGGTAAATAAAATGTATTACGGAGTATGTTTTCTCTGTTATTTTCTATTATTTTTAGGGAAATAGTCACAGGTTCTGCAGTATTGAAGAGTCTGAAACACTTCTCTAATTTCAGTCTTTTTTTCAAGTCATCACAGTGATTTTTCTAAGACTTGTTGGGCAGATAATTGAAAACTGAGGACGAGGCTTTTATGCCAGTTCAAAATTACAAGCTGGCTCTTTTCATGCCAATTATGTTTGTGAGGAAAAAAGATGGAAAATTAGTATAATGAACTATCACAAAGACAGTTGTCAGCTGAAAGCTGCTATTTCATTTCCAATGTAACCTCAGTAGGCAGCCCTTGAGCTGCAATATAATATAGATGAAGTGGTTAGCATAATACATATGTGAACCAGCTGATGAATGTCACTCAGTGTCCAAGTTTATAAGGGCACTTGGAAGATGAAGGGAAAACAAGCATTTGTCTCAAATTAAAAAAAAAAAAAGGAAGAAATCACTTTCGAAGTATGTGATCAGTATTTTAGCTTGTTCAATGTGTTTTCAAAGGCACCAACTCTTGTCCCATTTTCACAAGGTCATAAAAACGTAGCCGCATCCTTTAATAGTTTAAAAGCTATATATGATCTAACAAGATCAATATCTTGTTCCTGACAGGCATTGAAGAAGATGTGGTTAGAAAAATATGCCACAGATTCTGCCAACCCTGGTATATTAGTATTGCTTGGATGTGGTACTTTATCCAGTACTTGTGGCCAGTTAGCCAGTTATCCACTTGCCCTTATCCGAACTCGAATGCAAGCTCAAGGTGAGTGTTGAGGTTATGTTATGTTCCTTTTGTAAATTGTTATGTTATGAGGATACCATTGATCATTAAGAGTATGGCTAACTTTTCCTTCTGGAATTTATGTATCTAGCCTTCAGCCATCAGTAATCACCTTTTTAAAAAATACTCTTTAAAGTCTGTCCAATATCCTGAGCCCCCTTAGTGAAAATGAGGTGGCAAACCTCTATATCCGTAATGCATCCGTGGACGCAGAGCCATTTGTGCCAGCACTCAAGCCGCAGGAAAATTTACCTCACTGTGCATGTGCGTGCCTCTCAGCTGATTTTCGGCCTGTTTGACGCCTTTTTCGGCCTCCCAGAGGCTTGATGAAAGCTTCTGCAGCCTGAAAAATAGGCCTGTTTTGTCACTTCCAGTATTTCCAGAAATACAGGAAGTGATGAAACAGGCCTATTTTTCAGGCTGCAGAAGCTTTCATCAAGCCTCTGGGAGGCCGAAAAAGGCCTCAAGTGGGCTGAAAATCAGCTGGGAGGCACAGTGAAGGAAGGGGGGTGGGGGTGGGGATTGCACGTGCATGCGCAGGGGGCGTGGAGGGATGTGGCTGCTGGCACGCGAGCATGAGAGCACAAGTGCGCGCACAATTTTTGGCACAGGAGCCCAAAAAGGTTAGCCACCACTGCTCTATATGAAGTGAACCTATTGGGATTAACAGTGGTAGACTAAGCTCTACCCCTGAGAACAGGTAACCTTTGTTTGTAGAAAAATAATATTTTGGGAGAATCCCAAGGGTGCTTTTTCAAAAGGCAACAAGACTTCCTTTGTTTTGCTTGAAGACGTTTCACTTCTCATCCAAGAAGCTTCTTCAGTTCTCAGAAGTGAAACATCTTCAAGGAAAACAAACAAACAAACAAAAAAGGTCTAGTTGCCTTTTGAAAAAGCATCTCTGGGACAACCATGACCTGGATGACTGAGAATCTCCATAGACATTTCGGGAGAACATACAATACTCATAATACTAATACATAGATTTATTTCAACAAACACTTTATGTACATGGAGACAGATCTGACAATGCAGGGGTGTCAAACTCGTGTCATCATGGCATCATCACGTGACATATCATGACTTCCCCCCCTTCACTAAACTGGGCATTGGCATGGCCAGTGCATGACGCATCCAGCCTGCGGGCCACGAGTTTGACAGCCCTGTAATAATGGGAGAGTTCATCTAAAGTGATGGAGGAGTTGAAGAGACACAGGTTTTCTCCTTCTGTCAAAATTAGATCTTTGCCAAATTGTATCAATAATGATGAAAAACTTTGCTGACTTGTAGAAGCCTGGTCAGGGTAGAAGATTGTTCTGGGACAAGACTTTGTTCTACCCTTTTTTAACCAATAGGACCAACTTTTGCTTTATATCTTGTTGGGGAACAAATAATATGTGGCTATTACAGGAGAGAAGACATTTTTGAAGCTATACTTTCCTATTTTGGGGGAGGCAAAGGGACAGCATTTTAAACATTACAGAAGCTTAAGGTATCTATTTCACCACATTCCCTCACACAAAACAAAAGGGTCTGAATATTGTAGTCTCAGCCATTCTGCAGGAACTTGGGGATTATAAATGAAGTACACAGAAGTTCCTGCATGTAGAGTGTAGGGTTGAACAGAGAATAGAAACTCAAATATAGGAGAAATATGTTTGTAGGTATACAAGCAAAAGATTACTGTTTTATAGACATGTTACAGAAAGAAATGATGTACTTCCTGAAAGTGGAACACAACTAAGTATATATGTCAGGTTTCTTCTATTTATTAAGACAGCTGAATAATATGTCTTTTTTTTTCTTTTTAATTTTCTGTAGCAATGGTAGAAAGTGGCCCTCAGCTAAACATGGTTGGCCTTTTCCAAAAAATTATTGCCAAAGAAGGATTCCTTGGACTATACAGAGGCATAGCCCCAAACTTCATGAAGGTCCTTCCTGCTGTGAGCATCAGTTACGTGGTATATGAAAAGATGAAGGAAAACTTGGGAATAGCTTAAAAGAAAGACATGAGAAGCTCTCAAAGAATATTAACCCAGATGAAATCCTCTTGGAGGCTAAATTCATGTTTACAGTTAGCTACAGTTCTCTATGCAAAAATTCTGCAAGCCTTAACTTTATAAAGCCTGGATGGAATGAAAAAGAATGTATTTTCTGAAAACAGCTAGGTAATGAGAAAATTGTCAAGAAATATTTCATTGCTCATGTAGCTGCTTTTTGGAAAAGTTTGAGGATGTCATAATTATTTCCCCAACTTATATATTATTGGGTTAAAGCTATACAAGCAGTCTGTTAATGACAATTTGCGTTTGATTGTCTAGTGGGCAATTTTATTTTACAGGCATTTTTTGCAATATGATAATAATTCTACCTTTTTGTTAAGCTGCTTTTATAAACAAAAAAAATCCCTCAGAAAAATGATTCAGAAAGTCATAAAAGGTTGCACTGAAATTCTTGATACATTTATTTGTTCAATTCCTCTTATAACAAATGAACAGAAAGAGCTTGAAATGAAATGAATATATTTGCACATTTATTAGTCATTTATATAGAACATGCCTAGGTGGGATCTCGTTTTCCAAACAGTAATCTTAGAAAATTGATGAGGATAGGAACCAATCCAGACACATGTGGAACTGACATATTAATCAAAGTGAAAGTTATTGCTATTTACAAAAGATTAATAATTGATATTGTTTGTGTGCTTATTCAACATCCTATTCCTAATTTATATGAATGGAAGTAATCAAAAGCATATTTTAACGAAGTGTTCATATCCTTCAAACATTAATCTAATTTGTTAAAGTTTCTTAAATTTCTTTTCTTTTTTGCATCCTTCCATCTTCCACAGTTGCTTATCAAATTGCATGTTTTTCAATGCTAATGAGTTCCTTAGCTGGGCTTGCTTTCTCTTCCAAGAGAAAAAAATCTTGTGTTTTCTTTTACTACCCAAAGGAAGGGGAAAAAAAAACATTCTTACATTTTCCTTCTCACTTAAATTCCTTTCTCTCACTGACACCTGAACCATGGTTTCCTCTCTGCAGTGATACTTAATCCAGATCTCAATCTTAACCCAGGTCTGTTGCATGGTTTTCTTTTCTAACTCTGATTTGATTCCCTTTCAGACAGCCTCTCCTCCCAGATGCTTCTCTCGCAGTTCTCAATTCATGGAAGATGTTCCCTCCATAGTTCTCCTCTACTTTGGAGCTTTGGATCCCCTAGGCACCCACTGTTCCTTTTGGGCCCTCTGCTGGTTCACTCTCCTTTTTCACTGTCAGCATATCCAGACCGTAAAAGAACTAGCTATCCCATGACTTATTTTCTCTAGGTTTGCCTTGTCTGCAAACAATAGATGTGTGAGATTGCAGGTGCTTCAACAGGCTGTGGATTTTTGTCATTGCCAGTGTGCTTTAAGCCAGTGATCCCCAACCTTTTTTATGCCGCGGCCCGGTACCGACATCAGCTGGGCGCCACCATCTTGTTTTGATGAAAAAGTGCTTCCGGTGAGCTTTCTACCCGGAAAAGCTCACCGGAAGCACTTTATCATCAAAACAAGATGGCGGCGTCCAGCAAACCAGCGGCCCGGTAGGACTTGTTCCACGGACCGGTACCGGTCCGCGGACCGGTGGTTGGGGACCCCTGCTTTAAGCCATACATCCGATTGTCAGGCCACAAAATAAAAATACCCTTTTAACCTTAACATTTGCAACATTGAGAAGAATGGCAGGTGTTTTTGTATCATGGCAAGCTCATTCTTGCACACTTGGCTAAGTCCTGCTTGAAGCAGCTGGAAGTTTCACTTGCTGTTTAGGGACTTAACTAATTTGACTGACTTTGGCAGGAAATGTTCTGGGCAGATTGCACCAGTCATTCATAAATGTCAATTACAATCACATCAAATCTTAAATGCCTCCATGGGTTGCTTTCCAGGTAATATGTTGATATAACAAATTAAAGCTGTTCTTGTGATTGCTTAGTAAAGATAAGAGACTGTTAGGAAAACCTTATTGCATCATTCACATAACAGCTGAGGACATTTTCAAAGTCCTGCTTTAAGTTTAAACTGATCATTTGTTTTATATGCTCTCTCTCTCTCTCTCTCTCTCTCTGTGTGTGTGTGTGTTTGGCAGACCAGAGCTGATTTCCTTGAGGGAGAGCTGTATTTTTTTAATAGCATTAGAGAGATTGTTGATAGTTAGAAAGATCCACAAATCTTCTTAGCTCCCCAAATCAAGATAGATATCAATATACTGAAATGTTCAGTTTATTTTTATCAAGCAACCATATCAAATTATATCATAATAACATAATAAAATATAATAAACTGAAATTATATGAACTAAATAGTAAAGAATATTGCCTTCAAGTTATTACATTTAGCAAAATGATTGTAAGTAACTGGAAATCAAACCACAAGGTAATGATAGGCAACCAAAAATTGTATTGAAAAATCATGGCCAGCCTATATTAATCCACTTCTTGAGTATATTTTAATTATCTTTGAAATGAAAGGAAGGAATTGCTTGTGTGTTAAATCATTGTTTGCTTATTGCAATAAAGTAGGCTCACTTTAATTATAGATGTAACCGCATCATAAAAGCAGATTGTTTTCTTGGCATTGCTTGTTTCTTTGAAACCTGGCTGTTCCTTTCAACTGATTAAAATTTTCTTCAAGAATGGCTCAGAGAAGTGCTTGTGTAAATGATGGTTGTTCTTTGGAGTTTCTTATGCTACTATCTGGAAATCTTATTACCTAGCTGTCTTGAATAGAACTCTTAAATATGCAGAACAATCATTGGGCAATAGAACTTTTATGCTGTGAAACATGGATATTGCTATTATAAAAAGAGGTATGTGATCATGTCAACAGATCTGTAGTAGCTATTGGGTACAGATGGATGATGATTTGCTATACATGGCCATAACTTTTTTTGGGAGAATGTAATGTAAAATGTTCAAACAATTCACTTTACAAAAGAGTAAAATCATAATATTTGTTTCCAGTGCCTTCAGCAAATACTCCCTTAATAATCCTTTTAAAACCATCATGGTTTTAAAATAAGGCATGGCCACCTCATAATCCTCTATTAATGTTGTGATGCTAAGATATATGGCACTGGTGCCTATTGCATCATGTTCAACACTCTTGAATGACAGCTTTTTCACACTGCCTCTTGTCATATAGAAAACCACACTTGATCAAAGCCAAAGAGTTGTTCCAAAACATGCAGTATATAAAAGCATCATATATATATATATATATGCAAATGTTCATATATATATATATATATATATATATATGCAATTTTTTTAATGTAGCTTTCTTACATGGTTCAGAAAAATGTATATTTGAAAAATAAAGTTGAAAAATGACATAAATAGTACATGAACTAGATTAATTCTGTTTTCTTGTATAAGTGCTCTTATTAGAGTATTGATTTGGGTGATTTTGTTGTTAATTCTTGGGGGATGATGTAAGCTTCAGTAAGATTCCTTTTATCTTGTCCCTGAACATGGTTAGGTTGTAATTATTGTATGTTTCCTCTGTTCCTTGGTGAAAGTGATGCTGATACTTTGAAAACTGTTTATAATAAATGGGTTTTATAGCACAGTTGTATGTTCCTTTTGTAAATTGTTGGATCATTCACTATTTTATTAACATTGATTCTGGTGGAACACAATAGCTACATAATTTCTTTCAACACCATTTGGTACCAATCTCTCTTTCCTGGGAGAAGTTGTGAGAGGTTAGCCTACCTTCCACTTGTGCAATAGTAACCATCATTTATTGTGCTGGTGACAGGGAACATTAGTATAGGGAGAGCTTTACATGACATAATTTTATCACTTAGGAAGCAAGTTCTTGTGTATTACAATTTTACCATATTTCGTGAATGTCAAAAGATATTCTGCCGACTGCCAAGAGTTCAATTCTGGCTGACTCAAGGTTGACTCAGCCTTCCATCCTTACAAGATCAGTAAAATGAGGACCCAGATTTTGGGGGCAATATGCTAACTCTAAACTGCTTAGAGAGGGCTGTAAAGCACTGTGAAGTGATACGTAAATCTAAATCCTATTTCTATTGCTAGCCATGAAAATTTTTAGAACTCACTTGATGCTAAAAGTGAAAACTTATTTACACATGCAGCTAAAAAGGTCATGCTAAGGTCATTAATACAGGAACATATATGCTTTATATGAACACATTACTCAAGACATAATTACCATGCAACAGAGAGCTCATCCTGAGGGCATTCACACCATTGCTGGGGATTTCAACAGAGCATGCCTAAAAACTGTGCTCCCCAAACTTTACCAACATGTTAAGTGCCCAACCAGGGGAAAAAACACACTTGATCATGTGTATTCAAATATTAAGCATGCTTATAGAGCAAAACCTCTTCCCCACTTAGGACAATCAGACCATCTCACCCTGCTTTTACTACCAGCCTGCACTCCCCTTAGGAAGAGAACTAAACCTAGCAGTCAAACTATTAGATGCTTGCCTGAAAATGCCCTCTCACAGCTTTAGGACTGTTTTGTCCGCACAGATTGGAGCATCTTCAAACAACAGGACTTTGAGTTATACACAGAGACTGCTTTTCTACATGAAGACCTGTGTAGAAAATGTCACTGTGGACAAACGCATACAGAGCTTCCTAAACAGGAAACCCTGGATGACCAGCGAAGTCCAGACTCTGATCAGGGCCCATGACCTGGCGTTCAGTGCAGGTGACACCTCACAGTACAGCACTGCCAGAGCTGAGCTGAGAAGGGGCATCAAACATGCTAAGGAGATGCATAGGAGGAAGGTCGAGGGCCACTTTACTGACAGTGACCCACGGCAGATGTGGAGGGGGATACAGGCCAGGGCCCAACAAACAGCAAGAGCAGTAGCACTCTGGCAGAGGAGCTAAACAGCTTTTTCACATGCTTTGAGACCACCAAGAACCTGGACATACTGCCTCACGAGGACCATGACGCTGCACCTCTTTCTCTTCAGGTGCATGAGGTGAGAAAAACACAGAGAGCAGTAAATCCCAGGAAAGCTGCTGGCATTCCTGGTGCAGTAATTAAAGCATGTGCTGACCAGTTGGCAGAAATACTTACAGAGCTGTTCAATCTATCTTTAACACATGCCATCATCCCACAATGCTTGAAGGCTGCAACCATCATCCCCGTTCCCAAAAAAACAAATATAAACACTCTCAATAGGCCCATAGCGTTAACAAGCTCCATTATGAAGGTTCTTGAGCGACTAGTTTCACAGCACATCAGAGACTGCCTCCCACCCTCCTTTGATCAACATCAGTTTGCTTATAGAGCAAAGCGATCTACAGAGGATGCTGTGGCCATCACACTTCATAGAGCGCTGAGTCATTTGGAGAACAAACAGAGCTATGTGACGATGCTCTTTGTGGACTACAGCTCTGTCTTTAACACTATCATCCCAGATATACTAGTAACCAAACTGTATAATCTGCAAGTCCCCACCCCCACGTGCTCCTGGATTAATAACTTTTTGACAAACAGACCACAGCCTGTTAGACTTGGTCCGCACCTTTCTTCCACTATTACACTCAGTACTGGTTCCCCCCAGGGTTGTGTCTTGAGCCCCCTGCTATATGCCTTGTACACCTTTGACTGCTCACCAAGCCACTCAACAAACACCATCATAAAGTTTGCAGATGACACGATTGTGATTAGTCTCATCTCCAGAGAGGATGAGACGGCATATAGGGCAGAAGTAGAGAACCTGTCTATCTGGTGTTCATAGAACAATTTGTCACTGAATGTCCATAAAACCAAAGAACTGATTATGGACTTCAGGAAACATGGACAGGACCACACCCCACTCATCATCAACGGAGAACAGGTGGAAACTGTCCCTACTATCAGATTCCTTGGCATCCATATTTCAGCTGATATCTCCTGGTCCCCTAATAACAAGGCCATAGTGAAGAAGGCTCAGCAGCGGCTGCACTTCCTGTGGGTTCTCAGGAAGAACAATCTGGATAAGAATTTGTTAGAGAAGAATGTGGATAACAATCTGTTGCTGGCTTTCTATAAAGCCTCTGTGGAGAGCACTCTGACATATTGTCTCGGTGTGTGGTATGAAGGCTCCACAGTTGAGGACAGGAAAACTGTACAGAAGGTGATAAACTCAGCTCAAAAGATAATTGGTTGCCCTCTGCCCTCCCTGGAAGACTTAGCCAGGTCCCGCTGCCAAAGCAGAATCAAGGCCATCATAGAAGACCCCTCACACCCTGGCAATTATCTTTTTGACCTGCTGCCATCTGGATGGTGTTTTAGGTCAATAAAATCCCACACCACTAGACTAACAAATAGTTTCTTTCCCTGGGCCATCCGAACCACAAATAAACACGAAGTCACTACCTTATTAAGATATGAAAGGATGTGAAATCTCAATACCCCATTCAGATGTATAATAACATATTACAGTACAATCCATCTCTTGTGTATTATACTCGGCTAAGCGTTACAGTCAGTGTTGGATGTATATTTTGTGTATATTCGTAGATATTGTACTCTCAAATTGCAAATGAAGACATGGGTACTCTATTTTTCTTATCTTCATTTTTAAGTGCTTTGGTTTTATTGTATTGCGAACAGTTGCTGGGGTGCATCCACAGTTTTGTTGTACTTGTACAATGACAATAAAGTTCTTCTAATTCTACTCAAACTGAAGTATTCAAAGCAACTCATATGTAAATAGCAATAGCACTTAGGCTTCCGGTTTGCCAGGCTTCGGCGGCGGCAGGGATTCGCGATCCTGTGTGATCCCTGTTGAGCTAGCCGTCTTGATGCCTCCGATCCCGACGGGTCTGGAGGCTAAGGCTGCCCTGTAGAGGCAGCCGAAGATAGGGGGGATCCAGAGAGGGGTTTGGGGGCGTCGCAGACCCCCTCCCCAGCTGGCAAAACCCCCTTCTCTCAAGGCGGTGGAGCGGCGGTCTGTAATGGCCGCCACGAAGAAGCCGGCAGCTGGGTAAGACTGCAGGAGGAAGAGGGAGAAAGTTTTGAAGAGAAAGTTTTTTTGGCTGAACCAGGACTTTAAGATATACCTAACATCCTGAAAACCATGACTTTTTGAATGATACTTTGTTTCCAGAGGAGATTTTCAAGCGGCGAATTTGAGGTGCTGAAAGGGAAAGTTTACTCTCCTTCCCTACGGAATTAACAAATGGACATTGAGAAACCTGTCTTTTTATAGAAGGTAAAAATTTGGCTCTTTGTTATAAGTGGGAAGGGAGAGGACAAAAATATATATATTAAGATCTTGTTGGAGGAGATGCCTTGAAGATTTTGAGACTAAATTAATTGCAACAAGGCTTTAAAATACAGACTGGGCTTTTTTTTCTTCTTTTTACTGATATTACCCCAGGAAGAGAAAGTGAGAATTTTGTGCTTTGTTTGGACTGATTGATGACTCTGGGACTTTTGGGAACTTTTTCAACTTTTGAAATATCTTGGTTGTTTTAAGAAGAAGAAGAAGAGGGGGGAAAAAAGGTTTATAATGGCTTTACCTGTTGATGAACTTAGAAAGGAATATGGAAAAATAAAGAAAGAAGGCAAGGACGCTGTGGAAGAAGCCTTTCATTTTTTAGAAATGGCGCTTGCTATTTGTCAGCAAACACAACAAAAGATGGAGGAAGCAGAAGAAGAAGAAGAAGATGCCATCTTTAATGAATCCAAAAGTTTAATTAAGAAAGAAAGGAGAAAGAGAGGAAGGAAAATGAAGGACTTAAGACTTAAAAGAACACCCAAGAAAGAGAAAAATAAGATGCATAATCAACACAATGTTAGAAAACAAAAGAAAGGAATACAACAGAGAGGGGAAGCTAAAAAAGTGGAGGTTAGGAAAGGGGGGGGGGGGGGGGGAAAAAAGGCCAGGTGGGAAAAGAAAGGAAGGGAAAAGGGGGGAAAAAGCCAAAAAGGTATGAAACAAGATGGGAAAAAGGGAATTTTTTTTAGGGATAAAGGGTAATGTATAATCTTTTTAAAAAGAAGATTCTGCAAGGTACATAAGATGGTATTGTAGTATTTGTATTAGAAATAGAAAATTAGAATGTTATAAGAATTAATAAAAGATTAAAATATTGAAATGTTTAGTAATGATAGACTTTAAAATTTAATAAAATATTAAAGGGAATGTTTAAAACATTGAGTTTAATTACAGAGTTTAATTGACTATTGTGTTGATGTTATTATAAATTTATTACTGTAACATTTGTTTTTGAAATAGATAATTGGAATGTTACAAGATTTAATATTTAGATTTATTATTTAATTATGTATTTAATAATTTCAGATTTACTATTTTTTCTTTTTTTAAAAAGTTAGTAGGTAGAATGTACTAAGCAGAATCAGATTGGGAACTAGGTGTTATTTTAAATGTTAATTTAGGGGGACGATAGAAAGGCATCATACTTTGATTAGTGATTCCAGGAGAAATCCTTTTTTTTATTATTATAGGGAATGAGATAAATGGATAATTTGGAAAGAATGGACAAAAGATACAAGTATAATGATTTAAATTAAAATGAAATAAATAAAATAGAATTAAGAAGAGTGAAAAGCGGGGAGAAG